ACTATACTACATTTATGAGCATCTATCTCTGTCTCTGAATTGTTGTGCACTTATCATATAAATATATTTTGATTTACCCCTGTTTTGAGTAAGTGCTATTTAGGTCATTGCGGATCGACTCACCAAGTCATCACACTTCATTCCTGTGAATACCACCTACTCATTCTCCAAGTATGCTAAGTTGTATCTCACCAAGAGAGTGTATTTGCATGGAGTGCCTAAGACTATAGTATCAGATCAAGGGCCAAAGTTCACCGCTAAGTTTTGGGAGGCTTTACACCTTGCGATGGGCACTACTTACTCTTTAGTACAACTTATCATCCATAGACCGATGGACAGACCGAGAGAGTAAATCATATTATTGAAGGTATGCTTCGTTCATGCGCTACCATGTATAGTGGAAGTTAGTACATATGCTTGCCATTTGCATAGTTTGCTTACAATAACAGTTACCAAGTAAGCATCAACATATCCCCATATGAAGCCTTGTATGGTAGAGAGTGTTGAACTCCTTTGAATTGGTTGGTAGGAGAATGATGTCTCTATGGGTCAAAACTAGTACAAGATGTCGAAGAGAAAATGGACCAAATCCGCAATAGCTTAAGAGCAGCTTAAGAACGCGCTACAAGGCGCATGCCGATGACCATAGAGGAAAGATGGAATACCAAATTGGCAGCTATGTGTATTTGAAAGTTACACCTTTCATGTGGGCACCAAAATATTTCAAGTGAAAGGCAAACTCGCTCCTAGATATGTTGGGCCTTTTCAATATATACTAAGAGAGCAGAAGTATAGTATGCACTTCCGCTATCAAATTCACTATTGGGTATTCATGATGTATTTCATGCATCTCAACTCAATCCAAGTGCCTATCGACCAACTCCAGTTGCAATACATTGAATTGGATCAAAATTTGAGTTATAAGGAAAATCCAATTGCAATTCTAGAGTTTTCAAAGAGAGGCAAGAACAAAAATCATGAAAATGGTGAAAGTGCAATGGAGCCGACATTTAGTAGAACTAGAAGCATGCCCCGCTCGTTGCCGCGGGATTTTCTTAAAAATAAATCTTTTATATATAGTATTACTATATGGTATTCTATATACTGTGTATATATATGAATTTGACTTGCATATTATTTTATTATATCGGATCTTGTAAAAATTGGTAAGCTGATAGAAGAAAAACCAATGGAATATTTGATCACATTATAGAAGATAGGTGATGAAACAAATAGCATATGTGGATGACTTTACGTTAATAGATTAAAGATCAACATAATAGAGATGATGTGGACATTTTTTGTAATTAATTAGGGATGACAGGGATAGCTTGCATAAAAGGATTGCAAGTTAGTGGGACACTTGGTGGGAAATGATGTGGACATCTTGCATGAAGAGATAAACAATCTAGTGTGGTTTAGCTTTATAAGAGTTTAAGATAAACTACTTGGAAATTAGAGAGCCAAGGAACAAAATCTTTTTAGGTATAAGTTTTCCTTTGAATTTTCAGTTGTGCCTCTTGAATAAAATAGGTGTTTTCCTTAGATTTTCAATCTTGATCCTTATACTTGACCTTTGGAGAATCTCGAGGCACGATTCTCCCAAGGGGGAGGTTTGTCACAACCCGGTTATGACCAACGCAGAGTCATTGACATCATGAGCATCATTAGCATTTCAAGTCAATTTCAGAAAACTTGCATACAAAATTCTACATTTTCTGGGGTTTGTTATGCACCCATTCATAACTGGATGCTCTGGAATGCACAATTTTAGACTTGTCAGTTTGCACGAACACATGTCCTAACAGATAGTCCGACACATCCCACCAGACAGTCCGCTAGATCACTGCCAACATAGAGTTGAGCTGTCCAGCTATCAACACTTGTGACCCTACTTAACAGGCCACCAGCCCTCATCCCGTCTCGAGTAGGAAACTAGAGAGCTCACTGTCCACTATCACTCTCACTCACTATCTCCCCTACTCTCTCTCTCTCTTGTTCTTACTTTCCCTTCTCTTTGGAACACCAAGGCTAGGAGGAGGAGGAGGATTTGGAGGGGAGGAGCAGCAAGATGATAGCCATGGAGATGATCTAGGATCTCCCCGCAAGGGTTTGTTGGAGGTAGAAGGGGAAGGATGCCCCTCCCTCTAAGAGAAGAAGAGGAGGAGGATTCAAGAAGAAGAAGGCCAATGGAGGAGGATAACAAGTTGAGCTTCACCCACACCGCCAAGAAGCTTTGTTGCGTCTTATTCACGCCCTTGGTAAGATCACTCACAAGCACAATCACCTAGAAAACCTACAAGTCAAGATCTAGCTAGTTCATCACCGAGAAAGTCGCCAGGTTTTGATGAATGAATGCAATGTAGCTCAATCCACCTAGCTAGATATGCTCTATAGAACCCTAGGAACACCCCCGCAAATTGGTTTAAACATCCAAGTGGATTTCATTTTCGAAGTCCCAAGAACGCATAAATTGTGTTCTCACAGACGGTCCGGCAGACACACCCGGACAGTGCGCGGGAGCACCTTCACTTAGAAATTCTTCACAAATACACCAATGTTCCCTGGTATGGTCCGACAGATCAACCGGACGGTCTGAGGAAATTTTTGTAGAAACCCAACAGTACCAAGTTTGGAAATGCACGCTAGTATGGTCTGCTCATTCACCCGAACGATCCGCCAATGCACACACTTAAATGTTTTCAACTCAGACTGAACCATACACTTCTGAACAGTCCGGCAGAACCCCCGGACCATTTCAACAATTCACTCTCCAGATTCCTGAGGCCAACAGGACTGTCTATCCTAAACATGACCACACACTCTATTGAGTCTCAGCTGGTGAAAACAAAACCCCTGAGATGTACCTTTGCCTTCGGGCTTGTTTTCACCTCTTTATCTTCTCTTCAAGTGTGAGCTTGCCCCATTTGGATTGATCACCCTTCATCCAACTTCTAGCCTTGCTCTCCATTTTGGTGTAGACTTCACTTATAATCAACACTCCAAAAGGTTAGTTCACTAGTAATCTCAATTACTGAAACCAAACATGGGGCTTTTAGCGTGCTTTGGCACAGGGCTGTCGGAGCCTGATGCTCCTTCAGCCACCATCTGGTTTGAAGGGGGGGATTAGTTATTAGTTATGACTTGTTCAATTAATTTCCAATCCAAGAGGATTGAAGAAGATTGAGAGATTTTTCAATCCATGTGTGTTAGAGTGGATTGAGGATGGAATTTAATTTAATTTCCGCTTCAACACATATGTGTTAGACTGGACTGGGGATGGAAATTAATTTAATTTTCACTCCAATATACGTGGATTAAGGTAGGTACGAATGCATCAAACAAGGCCTTAAAGGAATTTTGACTTGAGGGCTAAGTGTGTCTTGTATATTCCTGGATTTGGTTAAGGTAGATACGAATGCTTCTAATCCACATTTGGATTTGGTTAAACCCTGCCCACCACCCAATCCATGTATGGAACCAGGGGAAATTTCCCATGTCTGGAATCTGCGTCAGACACGCATAAGGATGCATGCCTGTGTGAGATCAGCAGGAATTTCACGTCTGACTCAAAGAAATTACTCTGGTGGATGCCAAAATAAAAAATGTAGAACACCAAATATAAACATGTTCGATTCAAAAAAAAATGTGCTACAAAATAAAATATAAATGGGAGTTCCATCCAAAAAAATTAAGAAAATGGTATATAAACTATGAAATTCTAAAAAACTGAAAAAAAAAGACACTCTTGTGCATGTATGAACATAGGATTGCTCATGTAAAAAATGAAATATACATCTTCGCTAGTCTTCTAATCACACACTATCAAATATTGCAGCTTTGTTTCATTCCCTTGGAGGACATTAGAAAACCATCTTTCATTTCATCCATATTTCTGCTACAAAGTAAACATCAAATAAAACTTACTTAACTCAAATGTCTTTATAGACAAAGAAAAAAGTAGAAAATTCATTACAGTGAACATGCTTGTTGCCACAGGCTATCTAAAAATGTTGAATTGCAAGACTAAGTAAACAAGGATTACCGTTTTATATTAAACATCTATACATTCCTGGTAGGTCCAGGTTTTTCGTGTTTGCAAATAGCAAGACCAAGTACTGACTAGTTGCTTGGCTTGTTCTCTTGGTTGCCTTGGGGTTCATTTTTAACAAAGCAACATACATAACTTAGAAACTTATCAGATCACTCGTTTCAGTTCAAAGAAATTGGTTTAGAAGAATAGTAGATTGGAATTATCCATCACAAACTCACAAGTTCTTTTCTTATTTTCAACTAATATCTAATCCTTCAAAAACAAATAGCCAAAATAAACATTTGATAGAAAGACCAGGAACAATCAAAGGAATATTTTGTATTACTCTTTTTATATAGGTCAAAGGGTGAATTTGCCAAGATACGCTAAACAAGACGTCATCTGTCTTGTCTGCACACGCCAAATAAGCCAGCTACAGAAATAACCGAACAAACCCTCAGGATGGGAAAAAGCCCGTGGGCTTGATTTTTTGGTGGGCCCATAATGTTAGACTCACAAGGACATATCTGCAATGAAATTTGATGGATAGACCTTCTCATCTTGTAGGCCGATATAGTCAGAGACCCATTATTTCACGGTACATGATGAAACGGCAGCAAGAAACACAAAATTCACATAATGGTATTCATGGAAAATGAACAACTTTCAAGACATTAAAGAAAGCCTTATAATTTTTAGTGACATTAGAATTTACTCAACAAAGGTAGCTAGCGCATCATCGAATCTGTTCAGATAGTGCTCTGCTAAGTGCTAAGTGTGCGCGCGCAGCTGCAGCAGCTACTTCTTTAGGTACCATCATTGGCATGGGCAAATTAACCGCACAGCATGTGGAATGGTTTTTGTTTTTCAAACAGCGGCGCCGTTCACAAACCGACTTCGCAGCCCCTCTGAGTCTCTGACGCCTAATTGTCACCAAGCACAGCTGTCTATTCTTTCCCAGGCTTCATCAGTACTCAGATGGCGAGATCACGTCGTCGATCTTGAGGATCATCTTCACCACCTGCGTGGCAAGTAAGATCTGTTGCTGCTTGCCAATCAGGGTCTCAAAGACGTTCTGCTCTTTCATGTCATTGGTGCCAACGTCATTGCAATCTATGCCACAATGGGGGTTGCTATCCTGAAAAGGTGTTCAGTAAACACATGTCACCACGGTTTCCAAGCAGTATACCTAAGCAGTAATGATTAACAGCAAGAATACCATACTGAAACACTACAAAGAGCATTGCGACCACAACAGAAGTGCTGAAACAATCACATTATGTAGTACTACTGTACTAGATCAGATTGTACAAGCGCACTTAATGGTGGAGAAAAAAAAGACAATGTTACACAAGACCAAATTCAAACTACAAATCGACTATGATCTGGATGACAAGTAAAAGGATCCAGAGCTATCACATAGTTTCAAGAGGCCACAGCAGCTATTAAAAATTTAAAGTAATATACTTGAAAAAAAAAAGGAATACAGAATTAAAATACCTTCACTTGTTGAGCTTTCACCGCAGTTAAGGTATCAATAGGAGGCAAACCACTGTTTTCAGCTAAGGCTAGTGGAACAGCGTCCAATGCATCAGCAAATGACCTGATAGCATACTGCACATCAAAGAAACAGTCAGAAGGTACCACATTACATCGCAGCAAGTATAAGCTCCAAAGACAACAAGCACCTGCTCAACTCCAGGGTGCCGATCTGCTGCAGTTTCAACAGCAATTGAGCAAGATATCTCTGCCGAGCCACCACCATACACAATTGAGTTATTGCGGATCAGATTCCTTGCCACACAAAGAGCATCATGAAGACTGCGCTTGGTCTCCTCAATCATCATTTTATTTCCTGTACAGCAGTAGATAGTTTTTACCACAAACCAAAATAAGGAAATATTTGTAGCTTTGTTGTCCAACAAATGATTTACCTACAAAAATTTCATTGCACAAAATTGTATACAATATTGGTTCCTGATGCAGCAGGATTAATACCACCAGTTATACAAGACAATCCTTGGTTTGAAAATTCAATCAGAATACTGATACAGTTACATAGCCCCCACTTTTTTTTATTAATTTTTAGCATAGCATCCACTCTGTTAGATGATAGTCACTTTATTCAGAACAGCTGTGGAGTGTTTCCAAATCATATGAAATGTTGATGTTGATGTCTGATAAAGGAGGTGGGCATATGTATAGATGTTATATGAAAGCAAGAAAAAGGATACAAACATCAGAACATACCACCACGAATGAAAATAGTTACAGCTCTGGAATTGGCACACTGCTCAATGTAAAGCATCCGGTCCTTGGTTGTTCCAAATGACTTCTCTCTGACTAATCCAGCCTATTCAAGCAGATCAATCAAAATGATGCTTCGCATAGCTATTTGCAATACATAAAGATGCCTGCAGATTTTTTTTATGTACTGTATTGTAGGCATTCAAATGGGATCAACACAATTTGATAAAAAAGGCTAAACCAAACTGCTAAGCTACTAAGAGTGCCATTACAGTTGACCACATTGAAGTCAAGGATTCAATTTATTGACCAGTGATAATTAAATCACCTTCATAAACTCAGAAACCAGTTAAAAATCAGTAAATATCCTAACAATTCAACAATAAACAAGTACTTTTATCCAACAGATGAAATTGCTCATTTGTTTCCTGTCAGAAACAATAAAGGAGTTACTTATTATACACGAAAAAAATATCAATGCAATGCCCTGTCCCCAAGGATGATCTGTTCACTCTAGTTTGGGCACTACAATTGCATAATTGGACACCACATCGTCAAGATATGGTCAACTATGCAGGTTCCATATAACTGAAATAAAAGGTGTGCAGAAGATGATACCTTCCCTAGCTTTTCTGGACTCAGCTCTTGAAATCTTGGAACAATCCGTCCTCCTACAGTCAGTTTTCAAATATCAGGTATTGCATTCGCAGGTCAGTTATAATCAATTAATCATGAGTGAGCTATAGGAGCATGTGGACCTGTAGCAATGGCAATCAATTCCAATTCAACACCACCAACCCATCTGACAGCTGGCAGATTTCTGTGCATCAATAGATGATTGGCTTTGTCATCAAAACCCCATTGACAAATAACCACGGTTGCACCAACATCCTACAGAATATATGTGAATAGTTACTGAGCAAAGCAAACACACTGAATGACACGAATACGCTTGAATGCTTGATACACGCATAATACCTTATTTTGTAATTGTAAAGGAAAATATTTCAAAGTTTTTGAAACATTTACAATAAAACAATTGTCGACAAATGAAAACTGGGCAATGTAACAATATAAATTATTTCAATTGAGGATCTCGCATCCAAACCAATATAAGATCATTATCAGCCAGGTACCAAAAACTAGGATATTCACAACTAAACAGTTTAGTGGTTACCTTGCATTTCTGAACCATTTCATCAAAGTACTTCTGCTCTTGCTCACGCAGCGTCTGGAATTTCTCTACAGTATCAATGTCAACCTTATGCTTTGTCTTAGGTTTCGGGGGCTCAAATGGGCACGTCAGGATGGCTATCTTAGCATCCTCAATTCTCTTTGGCATTTGTGGGTGGCTCATATCTTTGTCAACGACAATTCCATATATTAGCTCTGTGTCCTCCAGCTTCCCGCCGACCTTGCCTTCTACTTTGATTAAATCCAAGTTAACATCCTTCCTATCCAAATCAGCAACCGCAAGGACTGCTTTGACAGCAATCTCTGCCAGTGCCCGCTTGCAACGGTGAACACTGTAGAAGAGGAAACCATCAGACGTTCTGTTCTGTTTTTCTACAAAAATCTACCAACAAAGAAAGTATCATAAAGCAGTAGAAAAATATATCTTCTGGTATATGAGCATTACCTGCAACAAAAATCATACAAGGAGCAGAACCACAGAGTTGATAATGTGAAGAACAAAAGAAAAATCATTGCTGTATATATATATATATGAATCAACCAATGGTTGGGCGCGCAAACCAATGCAATCTGCTATCCTATTTCTGTTAGGTCAACACAGATAAAAGGAAGAAAACCAGAAAAAAGTTTCATGTGATCATGTCACATCCTCAGCAGACAGAAGTTTTTTACTTCAGAATAAAATAAATGACACAATACAGAAAAAATAAACAAGTTAAAATTCATGATGCCAAAGAATCAATTCAGACTAGAAATTACTAAACAAAACACTTGCATCATAAAGTTGATGGATTGAACAGAAGGTCCTGTATTATCACTTACATCTTTGACGACAGAGTCGTCATGCAGGTCTGAACCAGGGGCTCTATATTGTCTGCACTGAACTCAAACTTTTGGGAGATGCGCTCAAGGTGATCAAAAGCTACCCTTGATGCCATCTCATAACCTTCGGCAACCCGTATCGGGTGAATACCACGCTCCAGAAGTTTCTCAGCCTGCTCTAGGAGTGCCCCTGCCATAACCACCACCCCAGTGGTACCATCCCCGATCTCATAGTCTTGACTGCGGGACAGCTCCACCATCAGCTTTGCAATCTGGTTGTCAACATCCATCTGGTCCAGAATCGTGGCCCCATCATTTGCTGGCATGTCATAAGGCAGAACTTTCAGTGAGATGGCTTGTATCGTGTAAATAACTGCAAAATGAACTTGTAAAACACAAAACTGGATTTGGCGAATTAACACCCAAAACCGAAACATTGCACATATCATAAACTTTCGGGAACCTCACTTGGGGGGGGGGCGGCGGGCGGCGGGGGGTGCGGGCAGTTCGAGCAACTGTCCGGCAATAAGCTAGATCTCAAGCCGTTCCCTTTCAGATCGCCCCATCCCGGTACACATGCTACACCACGACCAGCGTACACAATCATCCAATGAAGAAGGGAAGCAGATGCGTACTGATGGTGACGTCTCCGTCGGGGGACTGGAGCATCTTGTCCATGCCCTTGGGTCCGAGCGAGGTGCGGAGGATCCGCGCGACGGCCTTGCCGGCGGCGATGTTGGCCTTCTGCGCGTCGAGCCCGCGCAGGCGCGTCTTCTTCTCCTGCTCCCTGAGGATGATGAAGGGGCGCCCGAACTCGTCGAAGGCGAGCGCCATGGCTGCCGCTAGCGCGGTGCCGCTCGCTCCAGAAGGCGGAGGCGAGCAAGGGAAGTGGCGGCGCGGATGCAGGCAGGTGCGCGGAGGGAGAGGCGGAGTGTGACGGTGTTTCGAGAGTCTACTTGACGGCGCAAGGCCAAGGGTTTCCCTCTTCCTCTTTCTCCTTTTCCCCCCCTCTTCCTGCAAAACCCTCTTTCTCGGCACATGCCCATTCCATTGATTCGAGCCCAGTTCGTACAAACCCTCTTTCTCGGCCCCCTATCATTTCGAGCCCACCTCGTGCTTTCCCCAGTTTCGGTGCAAAAAACAGTCTTTTTTTGCCTACTATATAAACGATCGCTTGAATCCAGAATTTCTCCTCGTACCCCTCAAAAAAAAATCCTCCTCGTAAACTACTAGATAAATACCCCTGTGTTGTTACTAAAATTTCAAACATAATTTATGCATATGGTTCTCGATGAAAATTAATTAAATTTAAAACTATACATTTGTATTACATAATGGTTTTGATTGTATCAGTTGATTTATCCCGCAAATGGCACCCGATAAATGTTTGGGACATTTGAATGGTATACATACTAGATAAATTACTCGGCATAAAACCTAGGAAGGAAGCAGAGCAAAATGATGCAAAAGCCAATATATAATTTACAGGACATTAATATTGAAGTGAGAGCAAATAACTCAATTTTAATTAAAAAGAGATGAAATATAGAAATCCTACCATTGCATACGAACGAGGAAACATACTTCTTTGCTAGGTTAGGGCCATGGGGGCATTTGTTGGTGCTTTTCACGGGAGAATTGGGGCGCAACACCAGTATAGGTGCCCTTAATACTTTTTTTTAGATAATGGATAAAATTCGGCTTCACACCTCTTTAAAAAAGAGGATCAATCTAAAATTATTATTAAATTTCGCTCACTCAACACGATGTGTGTTAACATTAATATCCAACATGGAAAATAATAGGCCATCCATGGGAGGCGAAGAACTCCATCGACCTTGCTTCTAGTAGCCGGCAAGAGTAAATTAGGTGGTTCTTAATTTCCTTAGTGCGCTGTAACAGAGCCCGGAACCGAAGCCAATGCATCCCCCTGAACAATACCTGCAAAAAGTATTTTCAATTAGCAACTGTTAAACGCACAATCATTTCTTGTGAGCCAAATACTATAGCCCCTGTCAATAAAAGAAACAAAATTTCATCCTAGAGCACAAAGCCATAATATATAGATGGACAAAAGGAGGCCAAACACTGATCTTCGTATGCATGCACACTTACATCCAAATGAATGGATGTGGGTTCGGAATTGAGGATTTTGGGAAATTGATGAAGGAAGTGTCCCTTTGTTAGGTGTGGGGTACCATAGATTAAAACATGTTTGAGAGTTGTTGAGGGGTGGGAGTTTTTCGTCTATTAGAAAGAATTTTAGGGGATTGATGGCATGGAACATTGTGGGATTAGATAGAATTGATAGTGGGGACTATCTTTATAAGAGATATAAATAAGAGCAACTCTAAGTGTCTCTGTATACCCTTTTGTACTAATATTAATAGAGATTTTGGTGAAAAGAATCCCCTCCAACACCTTCTTCAACTAGATCTCTAAATATTTCTGTCCTCTATTTTGGCTCTCCCACTCGCCAAAGATAGAGAGCGGAGGCGTGGTTCTCCAAAATGCCAAACAATATATGGATATAAGTTGTTGGAAGGTGAAAAAATTTAAAGAGCAAATTTTATTAGAATGGCTCTCTAGATAAGGATTTAGACAATGAGTTTAAGAAAGATTATTGGAGATGCTCTAAAACTAGGCATTAACACTACTCTAAATAACAAAACTATGTAGCCGATTGAATGGGCAAACCCTAAAGTCCGTCGATGAACCTCCCCTCCTGGTCTCTTCTCCCACATGCGAAAGACGCCGCTCCCTCCATTTCTCCTGATCTCCCTTCGCTTCCTCCCTCTCTCTTCTTCATCCCAAGTCTGGTGGATCTAGATTGCCAGATCCGGCAAAGGCGCGTTACCTAGGGGCACCTGCACGCATGGGGCGAGGTGTGTCGTGGCTTTAGGCACGGGAGGAATCCTGGCGGCGACGCCGAGAGCCAAGGTTGCACGCACGCTTCTCCAGTGGCCATGGCACGTCAGGGAGGATGCTCAATGATGGCGCCGCACCCACTTCTCTAGCGTAACAAAGGGTCCAAGATCCAGTCGCCCACTTTTCCAGCGTGATCAGGGCTCCGATTTGGCGCCCCGCCTCTTCCTCCCAGTCGCTATCCTCAACACCACCACAGCTCCGGAGATTCGTCGCCTCCTCACCACCGCTAGGGCTCCAGAGATCCATGGGGTGAGGGCTCATGTGCCTACCGTCGTTTGATCGTCCTCATCATTGGTGGAAGGTGTGGCCTCCTAGTTGTGTCGTCAATGCCTCGTCCTCGCGCCCCATTGTTGGCGGCAGCCATGGCCTCCTTGTGGCCTCATATTTGGATCTACAAGGCATGATGTTGCGACCATTCAGATCTGGTAAGGTCAGGCAATGGCGGGGTGGCAAGGCTCGACGATTGGCCTGGAAGCGGGCTCTACGACGATGGGGTCCTAGGAGCGGGCTCAGCGATGGTGGCTAGCCTAGGAGCGGGCTTGGGCGGCTATGACCATGACATACCTAGGAGTGGGCTCGAGAACAGTCTTGCCGATGGGCTTTTGCTTTTTTTTAAAACAAATATTTCCAGAGACAAACATTATGACAGCTTCTACAAAAACCGATTAACGGTGAACATCCTAGAGAGCCTGGTTGTATGCCCATCTCTGGAAACCTTTTCGGTCAACTTTGAAAAGGCTGAATATAGTAGTGAATGCTTCACGATACCCTAACAAAAGAAATTGTTGATGTGAGGCGCTCCATATGCACAAAACATGGAGTTAGTAACTTAACCAACTAGAAGGATACCAGTGCGTGGTGTGGGGATCACAAATTATTTGAAACCAAATGGTCTATAGTCATTGTCTTATGCAGCTCATTGGTGTGGATATTTGCATGAAGGGTAGACTATTATAAATAAACGGTAGTGTATATGGTGTGGTTTGCTGATGTCGACTAAATAGATGTTGGTGGATAGTGTGACTCGTTAACTGGAATACTGGATAGCTTGTATATATAACTTGAATTATTCTATTTTTTACCTTTCTTAAACTTACGCTTTCCATGCTAATATGGTATATAGAAATTATGTTACGATATTAGTGGTTATCTTTATTTATCCCTGCAAAAATTGATAGCTTTCATTTCTCGTAGGTTTCCACAGAATTCCTGAATTCTAAAGTCTAAACAGGCATAACTTGATAATTAAACTCTGCCAATTGCCATGTCATTCTCAAGAGCATAGTGATCGATGACTGATCAACAGTAGTTTTACTATCCGTGCACCAAATTACAGCGAGAATTTTTTTGAAACTTTTACAGCGAGAATTTACGGTGGCTGAGCAATAATTTGGCACAGAGCCCCAGGCCCTTCAAATCTCTGCACAGACTGAGACTGGGGAGAACAGCCTAGGATCCGTAGGCTACTGGCAAACAGTTAACTCGCCTTCTTGCAGTGGACTACCTCCATGTGCTGCATTGCAATGCTATCCATGCACGCACCAGACACCAGTACACGTATGGACTTGCATGCTCTTCTACTATTTCTGAATAGTCATCGCTGTTTATGAATAGTTCAGTTCCCAATTTACCGCGGGTAACATCTCTCACTCGAATTCTTGGCAAAGAAATATTCAAATGTGCATATCCTAGTAGTACATGGACACATGGTTGAGTTTGAGAGACGTAATCTGAAATGACACCATGACTGTTGGGTAAGTTAGCTCTAGTTAACTCCATTTCAAACAGTAAGCAATTTTTCAGGTTCCATTTCCATTGACAATGCAAAGTTTTTTACCGTGAGTTGAGCCGGCTGCATGGTGCCTGTTTTTGTTTGAGGAAGGATTGGGTGAAGTGATGCTATAGAGAGAGAATCAGAGAAGCATGCATCGGCATGGGGAGGTCCCGAACGAACACTACCTGCTGCGGCATGCTGCATACCTGAACGGGAGGGCCATGGCCATGCGCCCATGCCTCCGCAATCTCTCTGTACGCTCTTCCCAAGGAGAAAAGGAGAACGGATCGACTTCCTTGATTTTGGAGCTCATATCATACAGGCTTCAGTTCCTCCTTTCACAAATCTTGGCACAGTGACAGTCCAATGATTACAGCTTCTCTACCCGGAAAGAATACCGTAGTTCTAAATTAAATTATTCCAAATTTTGTCAAGCAAACATTCATGATACTACCGAATAATACTCTACGAGTGTTACTCCCTTTGTTACAAATTATAAATTGTTTAGGCCCCATTTAGATCCTTGAAATTTAACTCATTTTAATAATTATAATTAAAGCATAGAATTATTAAGCTAACATGATTGTACGGTGAATATATTTGTATATTATTTTTAACCCTACAAGAGAGATACTTACATGTGGCATTTCTACACTAGAGAATCGAGTTAAAAATCGTGCTATAAGTTAGAGAATAGAAATATAGCATAGTAATCTATATAATCATTTTACATTCCCCATGATATGAATTTGATATAAGCTTATATGTGAACTTGAAAAAATTATGGAATGTCCAATTTCAAACCAAATAGTCTAATTCATTAAGTATATTCCAATTCCTCCAAAATGAAAGAATCCAAACGGCCACTTAGATTATTTAATTTTGTAAATTTTGTTATGCAAGACATAGTATATACTGGTGCATAAAAAAATATGTGCACGTAGAAAAACAAAAAGAACTTACAATTTAGAATGGATGAATTAAATTAGTAATATAACATGTTTTTACAATGCTAAATTATATATGTATTGATACTATTTTTAGAAAATAAATTAATTTTAGATAATCTAACCAATGACAGAACTAGAATAGTATTTTTAATGGAGTTAGATTACGGTAACCCCGTCGCTCC